AGAGAGACACAGGGGAGACTGGAACAGAAGGATTAAACAGGGAGGGGGAAGGAATACGAGGAAGGACAACTAACACTAAAAGTCATTTGGAGGAGTCTTGTAAATCTACTGTAGAAGTTCCTTCAATATATACATATATAAAAGAAACATAAGTAGAATCACTAAATAATGTGGGAGACAAAACCCCAACTAGACATCTTTTGCTACCAAGTGAAACCTTCGGTGCCAGAAATGGGTTACATCTAGTTGAGTCATTGGTTGAAAGGGCCCAAGTATCTGAAACTATTTCCTTACCCACAAACTGATTGTAAAGCCTTTTTTGCTTCAGATAACACTTACATATCTCATTGAACACAGAGACATCAAGCTGTTCCCTACCTAGAGCCTTTATCCCTCCTGACTAGTGTTGATGGTACTAAAATGTGTGCTGCATGCTACCAGAGGAGAAAGGTAACCATCAACCCAGTTATAAATCCTGCACTCTACAACAGGAACCTGCCTGTGAGATATGCTGGGGCCCTAGTGACACAAATGTAGGAGTAACCAACCACATTCTTATTGAATTTAAGGCCCACTCCACAAGACGAAACCCATGCCTGCTCGGGTAGCCAAGAACCTGAGACTAGATAGATCATGGTCCTAAGGGAAAACCAAATACTATTTTTCTGCTAAAGGAAATAACAATAAAATGACTCCTAATTGGACAACATGAGAAATTTGGGAACACTCAGTCCTAAATGAATGTCTTCATTAAACCCTCCCCTCGGGGCTCAGGGAGCTATGCTGAAGAGGAGGAGGAAAGATTGTAAGAGGCAGAAGGGATGGCTGACTCCAAAGAAACAGTGTCCTCCAGACACAAGAGGAATGATGCACATATAAACTCACAGAGCCTGTGGAAGCACGCTCAGAGCCTGTACAAGTCTAAACCAGATGGAGTTCCAGCGCTGAGAGGGAGAAGTGGACAGGAGCTCCAATCCCTAATAAAAAGAGATCTCCAATTGGCATCTATTTGCAAAGGAAAAGTTAGTTTTTCCAAATGGAATCTCACTGTGTATATTAATCACAATTATGGGTAAATCCCATGCCCAACAATAGATGGTCATCACAAAATGAACTCAATGCTATTTTTCCAGACTTTTTGTAACAAATTGCTTTGTTTTGGCATTTTTGTATTATTGGACTTTTGCTTGTATGTTATGTTTTCCAATTGTGTGTTTTTATAGGTTTTGTTTTTGTGTGTATGTCTATGTGTATGTCTTTCTCTCTCTGTTTTTTGTGTGTATGCATGTATGCATGTGTGTGTGTGTGTGTGTCTGTGTGTGTTATTCTGGTTTGTTTTTCTTTGTCTGTTTCTTTTCTAAAGAGAGAGAGAGAAGGGGTGCAGAGTTGCATGGGTCAGGAGGTGGGGAGGATCTGGGAAGAGTTAAGGTAAGGGAAACCATGATCAGAATATATTTTTTCAATAAAGTATATTAAAAATAAATAAATACTTTTATGAATCATTCTCTTCTCATATATAGTTAAAATAACCCTGCAGAGATAAAACACTTCCAGAAAAAGAAAGGAAAACTGTGGTGATATATTATGTACCCTAATAAATTTGCCTGAAGATCAAAAAACAGAGCAGCCACTAGATTAGACATAGAGGTCAGGCAGTGGTGGCACACACCTTTAATGCCAGCACTTGAGATCTCATGTCTTTGCTTGGGAAGCACATACACCTTTAATCCCAGGAAGTAATATGGCAGGGCAGAGAAAGGCATATAAGGCGTGAGGAGACAGGAACTCACTCTCTTTAGGCTGAGGATTTCGTAGAGGTAAGAACTAGTGGTTGGCTGTTCTGCTTCTCTGCTCTTTCAGCTTTCACCCTGATATCTGGCTCTGGGTTTTTATTATTAAAAGAACGTCTAAAATTCAAACAACAGAAAACTCTGAAGGTCCACAAAGCAATGAGAGCAGTGGGAAACCCAGCATACCCTTTTTTGATAGCACCCTGGAAACTGTAATTTTGCAACATCTCAAATAATCAATAAAGAAGAAAACTGTGTGTGGGAGGTGTGGGAGGCTGATTTAATATTTAAAATCCTGTTAATCTATAACAGAACTCATGCATGAAATTCTCAAGAAAAATTAAAAATTATAAGATGTCACTTCAGCTATTCATATATAAAAAGCTATTAATGTCAAATATTTTAATTACATTGTTATTAAAATAGATGAATTAATTTAAGCTTAATATGTCATAAGCAACCACTATGCTGCTAAATAAGATTCCAGAAATTGGGAACTATACAGAAGGCTCTGTAGTTAAGATCAATTCTTTTTTTCCCCCAGAAGACCCAAGTTTGGTTCCCAAGATCCATGTTTGGTGACTTACAATAGCCTATAACTCCAGCTCGAGGGAGATTTGACACCTTTGGTCTCCAAGGGCACTCACAAGAACACACACACACACACACACACACACACACACACACACACACAATTAAAAACAATAAAAGACATTCTGGAATTTAGTTTGCTTATTCTGTCATAGTAATATTATTTAAAGTAAGGGCTAACTCTCTAGTTACATGATTCCTGTGAGAATATAATAGTCCCCTTTTTTTGTCAATTTTATTTAATACATAAAAATATGATTTAAATAAAGTTTTCTCCCCTGTGGCAAAAAAATCTACATGTAGACATTCAAATGAGCAGACCAATATATTCTAAGAAAGCATTTATCAAAATTCAACACTTATTATGATGACTCTTAGTAATGAGCAATAGATGAAAAATCCTTCAACTGCATAGAATATACACAAGAATCTTTTAGCTAATATCATGCCTAATGAAGCATTCCCACTAGAAAAGGAACAAGGCAAGAATTCCCCTCCACACCCATTTCTACAGACTAGAAGTCCAGGCTGGTGGAGTAAGGCAAGAAAGCAGCTAGAAGTACACAGGATTGGAAGGAATCAAACTGTGTTCACTCATGACACAATAATTTATGTAAAACAATTCCCCCAGACTAAAAAAAAGTTTCTAGAAAGAATAAGTAATTATAATTTTGCCCATACAGTTAGCATACAAAAGTCAATTACTAGGCTATGATTGTAGCTTTGTGGTAGAGCACTTGCCTGGCTTTGAGGTCAATCCTCAGTATTTCTTGGAGAAAAGTTTATTTCCTGCATGCCAACAAGAAGCAGGTACAATTTAAATTAAAAAACAACTCTATTTACATTAGAATCATTCAAAATTAAGTGATGTAAAGTGAACAAAATGTGTTCAAGTTCTATGTGAGAAAATCTACAAATCTCTGATAAAAGAACATTTAAATAGAGATATTCTTTATTAATTAATAGGCAGACTTAATATTATCAAGATGACAATTCTCAACTTGATCTGTGGTTTCAATATAATCCCCATCAAAATCTTAGGAAGTTGTTTTATGGATTGTAGGAGAAATGAAGTCCTTGTGCTCACAGACAAGCACTAGGGAAACCAGGAATGTGAAACACTAGGGTTGTCTCTGGGAAAGGATGTGGTTAATAGCCAGGCTCCCCAAAACTCTTAAGTTTATTTTAGTCCATCTATAGCGCTATCCTTCCCAGTCCCTTATCTTGATCATTGTTTACCCTGAGCCTGCTTTCTCAGTCAATCTATAGAGCCCATGTGCTTTACAAATGGGAGCAGATGTGGTTTATAGTCTGGTGACCTTTGCACTATCTATATGACTGAAACCTTACCAGATCCTTCCCCAGACCTCTAAGAAGTCACATGCAGTCAATTGGAAGAGGTCACATGTACTTTACAAAGAATTTCAACATAATCATGACTTAAGCTTTGTTGTACATATGGGATTGAGTTAATTATCACCAGAAACTTTTTTCTGAATTGTTCTGTTCTTAAATATACCTGAAATAAACTACCTAGTGTCAGACTCCCAAAGTTTGAACCAACACTGTTTACTAAGTCATGTCAAACTGACCTTCTTCTTGCCTTACACAGACCAGATCAACACTGCTGGCCATGGTGTTGCAGAAACCTCCCACAAGGGATACTGAAAAGATTATTTGAACATTATTATGGAGAGGCCAAAGGCCCTTACTGGTCAAAACAACATTGAGGGAGAACCAAAAAATTGGTGGACGTTAACCAACCTCAAGACTTAGCAAAATGACAACATTCAATACTGCAGAGATGAAAGAACAGACAACAGATACATGGGACAGAATACAAGACCTAGACATAGACTCACATGACTACATCAAGTAGTCTTTGACAGATGATCAGAACTAGTACAGTGGAGCAGGTAGTCATGCAACAACCACAGATAGAATGCCTGGTCATACACACTCAAGAAATGAAACTAGACACACACCAAACAGGCATCTTTCACAAAATTAAAGTAGGAAAGGGATGAAGAGTTAAAAAAGAGGGATTTTTATAGGATGGTAAGATGCACACATGTTATCCCACATTTGCCAAGACCCACAAAATGTACAGCATCAAGAGCAAACCCTAATAGAAACTATAGACTTTCAATTATTTTATGTCCATATAGATTCATGAGTTGCAGCAAATACAGAAATGGGGAGGGGATATTGCTAGTGGGGGATATTTATTGATGTATTGAGACAAGGCATGTATTGGAAATCTGTACTTTCTCAAATAAACTGTGAGCCTACAACAAGTCTTGCAAATATATAAATAAAGGGGCCTTAGTATGCCCTGCTATCTATGGATGTAGCACATACTTCTGTCCCTGCCCACCATCTAAATCCCGGGGTTCTACTTACTTTGCTATTGCCATTTTTAAAAGTATGATTCACAAGACATAAAGGATTGGGATGTGAAGTTACAGTGAATTTCTATGACCTTTCAGTTTTGTGATTCATACAAAGGACAATCTAGGATGTCAACTCACTAAGGGAGCTACTGGACTAACAAGGGGACGGGCAAGGAGACAGTTCCAAAGTCTAGCAAAAGCACAACACAGAGAAGCCACCTAAGGATGCCAATGGATACTCAAAGTGAATTTATTTCTGAATTAAGGATCATCAAAGGGAATATTATCTCTCATGTTATAAAAACAGTAGTAAAATACAGCACACAGGAATCGAATTTGAATGTTAGCAAGATGAAAGTACAATAGCAACTGAAAGTTGGTTCATTTTAACCTTAAATACAAAGGTAAAGCAGTTTAAAAAGAAATTTTGTTAATATGAAAATATATGTCCCATGTCTTTATTACATACTGTACAAAATAAAATATTGCACCTTTGAGTCATATAATAAATATATACAAAGAGTATTTTACAAAGGATCTTTCTTTTAATTTAATAAGCTCAACTATCAGATGCGATTGATGACTAACGACTCAGGGGCTGGTGTGCTCTTTCCTCTGCCCTGTCCGTGCCAGACCACCAAACGCTTCACCTACAGTAGTGTTCATCCCAGTGTCGGTGAGGCTGATGTTGGAACGGAAGAGAGACCTGTGCTCAAAAGATGACAGAGAGGCTCGGCAAGCTCCTCTACAGACAAATCCAAAGCCACAATGCGCTGTTCACATGTCGATCAGGAGGTAGGTCTAACACAACCTGCCTCAGGAAAGGTTGCGTTACATGCCAGGAGGCTGTGGGCAGTACGTGTGCAAGCAGTCGGGACACTGAGTGAAGAAGCAGGACCATTTATTTGGGGTCGTGTAGCATCTAAAGCCATAACTGGTAAAATATCAGGGAAAGGTCCCTCCCCATAGCCAAATAGGTTGTAGGAGTTAAATTGAATGCTAGCCTGAACCTTCTTTAGCAGCAAAACTTACTCACTCCACTGTCATGAAGAGCAGCTTGGGCCCGAGAGACCCAACCCCTTCCGAAACTGGCTCTAACCTTAAAGTCAGCTCTGGTCTTAGCCCTGATGTAACTTCCCTTCTCACCTAACTGAATCCTAGTGCTAGTCCAAGATTAATTCAACCCTTTTCCCCAAAGCACAACCCCAATCCCAGCTCTAGCTCCTAACCCCCAAATTGTTTTTTTTCCAGCCTAATCTTAATTGACTTTGGATTTACCGACAAAATCACCTCAAATTAAAACAATCATTTACTATAAACAATTCCTTTAACTATTGCATTTCTTATTTAGATTATTTTCTAATAAACTTTCCAAAATAAAAATCATTAGGAATATTATTGTATGTATAAATTACATCTAATAAGGCTTTGATCTCTATGTGCAAGAGAATAGTGCTTAGAAAAAGTTCCATTCACAGCTCTGAAAAGAAAGCTTTGAATATACTTCAAAATCAGTAGAAAGGTTAGCTTTTCCTCTCCTGTGATTTCCAAGATGCCTCATTTGGTCACAGATCGATTTCTGTAGTTATGAAAATGGCAGCCATGTCTACTGTGTTTTCTTCCATGGATGCTCTAAGAGGGAAGACGAGATGCTGTTCTCAGCGATCCTTGGCCCAGCCGGTGTCATAAGCTGTTAAGGGAGATGGCCTCTTCTCCACATAATAAACTTAAGGATCTATAAAAATGCCATTAGTACCAACATCTGAACAGCTACTGGCTAGAGCCTTTAAATGGTAAATACTGCAAAAAAAAAAAGTGTTGAAACTCTGCAACTTGAGAGAAACCCTCAGCTGCAGAGTCTTCAGTATGGACCACTTTTGACTGGCCTACGAATCGCAGCAGGTGATGATGTGCTCATGATGAGGTCACATGAGCAAGGGCATGGCTGCTGATGCAGTTTTGCTAATCCTAGAATCCATCGTTTGTAGGAACTGGAATTAAAAAGCAACCACTGGCCAAGCTAACTTTACAAATTTGTAGCAGGCTCAGTTCCTGCACCAACCTCTGCTTGACCATAGAATCTAGAAACTTGGAGACGTGTGTGGTTTCGAACCAGAGACACGGGGGAAAGAGCCTCTCCTTTTCTTTTCTCACCACAGCAGCATCACAACCCTACCAACGCTTCATCCTTCTAGGCATGACTGGCAGCACCTTTGTTTGTAGAGGGCCAGAGAGCACAAGTTAAGGTGCTTTACGAACGTACAGTAGTGTGTTGTATCTGTGCAGTTTCCTGCAAAAACAAAGAAAAGAAAAGAATCCATAGCACGTGGTTCAGGAGAGAGTGAGTAAGAACTAGGTGATATCTAATAGTAAGTACATATTATCAACTGCTTTGCACTACGTCAGAAACACGGTGAGCTCACTTCTCCACTTGGCGTCTTGTGGTACTCTGAGATCCTTACAGATCCTCCGACCCAGGCCACTTCTTTCAGGGCTGGGGGTAGGGGTTACTTTTTGTGGGACCGTAGGCCCCCTGGAAAACTTATGAAAGCCTCATACTTGCCCCTAGAAAAGTAACACGCAGTTATATTCACTGTCTAATTTTAGGACATTTGCTCACCTATCCAAGCCCATTGGTTCAGGCTGAGCAGAGGAGACTGCTAAGGAAAACGTGTGTGGGGTGGCTGCCACTGCCTCATGAGTCAGAGCTGCCGCCTGTGCCCCACTCCTCCTATGTGACATGGGTGAGGTGGGCACACTAGTGTCTGGGTTTTGACAAGGCTTCTGGGGCGCTGGTGGTACCTGAGAGGGGTACGTACTATCACAGGAAGGCCCAAGACAGTGCCTCCAGGACGCTGGTTTCATCTGCACACAGTGTCTGTCAGGCACGGGTTTGCAGCTCCCCGTGTGAATGCAGTCGACCTTGCGAGACTGGAAGCCCCTGCCGCAGACCGCTGTACAGGGCTTCCAGGGCCCCACACGCCAACATGCCTCACAGGGCCCTGAGGTGCAGTTCCTCCTAAAGGCAGGTCTGAAATGAAAAAAAAAAAAGAAAGAAATGTAAAATGGGAGAAGATGCCACTTTTTGCTGGCATCAATCAAGCCCCTTTTCCTACTATGAATTCCATGCGCCAAAGGCTTCCTCAGAAAAACTGATTTGCACTGTCCATAGCTGGATAAGCAGAGTACTGGGACAATCTGACCATAATAAAGATAAGTAGATACTTGAGAAGACTGACTGTTCCCCAGATGTTGGGAATGACCCTCTAGTCCACTCATCATCACTAGATATGCTAGGAAGGCTCTGGAAATTGGCAAGGATATTTGATAAAAGGGAGAGAGGAAGACCTACTTTAGAAAAAGTAATAGCATTGATTTAAGACTTAATGTATTAAGCACATGGAAATGAAGAGTAGAAATGAGGGAAACGTACCCTCAGTACTGAAATGAAGTTGAAATGTGTATGAAGAGAGCCAACAAGTGGCTGAGATGCCACGGTAAGAGGCAAGAAGAGAGCACTGTCCTGTGAGAAGCCAGTGGTGAGTGCTCACACTCAGGTGTATGCGAGGAAAATGAACAGGGTGTGAAATCACTGCAAAGGAATCCTCATCAGCAGGAAAGGCGGTGGTGCTCCAATGATGGCGAGCACAAGGTCTCTGCATCCTTGAGTGTTCTATCTAAAACCAAGACCTGGGCTAGGCACAGGGCTGTGAGTCCAGCTCCTTGGAAGGCTGAAGTAAGAGGACTCAAAGATCAAGTTTTGCCTCAGCTACAGAAAGCCCAAAGTTTAAAAAAAAAAAAAAAAGCCTGGGGATATAGTTAGTGGTAGATCACTTGCTTAGTAGGCAAAAGGCTCTAGATTCAATTCCCAACACTGCTGCACACACACACACACACACACACACACAGAGAGAGAGAGAGAGAGAGAGAGAGAGAGAGAGAGAGAGAGAGAGAGAGAGAGAGGAGAGAGAGGAGAGAGAGAGAGAGAGAGAGAGAGAGAGAGAGAGAGAGAGAGAATGTCCCCTGCTCCTATACCATACAACTAGAGTGACACCATTACCCAATGCCTGAGGCTTAGCATCTCCCCTGAAACATGATCTGACAAGGAAGGCATGGCCAAGAAGCTGCATGTTCCCAGGGACTTCCAACATCAAGTCAATGTATACCCAAAAATGGACTGTAATCTGGAGCAAATCAGTTTATGCAAGGAAGAGAGTTACTACAATGACATGAGAAGCCACTTCAGAATTGCTAACAAGCCTTCTGATGCTGTTGATAAGTCCCCAAACACTCAGCTGTGACAACAGTGTATCGTCTTGCAAGGTTTCTGCTTCTGGGTGTGTGCTCACATTCACATTTAGGCCACGTGTAGAATTGCCACCAGTGGTTACAAAGATCAATTTATTTGGAAAGTGGGATCTAAAATAGAAAAGAAACTCAGTGCTTTCTGATGTTTGGAAAGATATCTCAGAGGACAGCCTCTCAGCAGATGTACTTAGAGGGATTTGGCCTTGTTCCCTTGGACATATCACTATGGAAGGTACAATTGCAAGGTAGGAGACAGTCTCTACCCCCAAAGACGACTGGGAGAAGGTCCTAACGAGGTGGTTCAGTAGTTGTCTTTCTCTTTGAAATCTGGAGGATGTGGAACAAGACATGAAGCTGGGGATAACAGTGTCTGCCACATAGACCAGAGACGTTGAAGGCTGTTTAGGAAAAGCCAATAAACCAAATACCAAAGGCTGAAGAATTGAGAGAAGAAAAAAAAAGCGATGCCTTCCCATTCTCTAGTCACAGTCCTTCCTGATCTGCTAGAAGCCCCCCGGGACTCTCTTGTCATTACTGTAACTAAATTATAGCTTATACAGCATCTCTTCCAAGGAATGTGGAAATATTCCTGGAAGTATAAGAAAATGGAGAAACTTGTGAAAGCCTGACTTGTGAAGGGGAGTGTTGCACCAAGTGGGAAGCAATGCTTAGATTCGCCAGTAGGCGGAGACACCATCAAAGGGTTTAACTAGGAAACAATACTGTCCCACCTAATTGGTTATAAGATTTAGGGACGAGGGGCCAGAGAGGATTGTCCTGTTAATTTCTCCTGTTTTCCCCAGTGGGTATAAATCCTAAAGCCCAAAAGTTGAGTCACCCTGACCAACAGAGCAGACTGAACACTCCCTGGCTTTCTTCCACTCCAGAGGACAGCTTCCTACAAATACAAAAGAATAGATTCAAGAGGTTAGTAAATGGATGTTCATAAGTGTTAGGCAATCCTGTCTTATTAATAAGGCTTTGCCCTCTTTGGAGAAACTTCCAAGCTGGCTTCTGTTTCTGGCCTGAAGAGACTTAAGTAATTCAACTGTTTCCTCTTGACTGAAGGCAAACCCTTCCCAAATGCAAAGGAGGAGACCCCCAGGGGGCTGTTCACCAACATGGAGGCCAAACCCCAGGGCCTCTTGGAGGCTGAAAAACAAAGACCAAAGTTGGTTTAGCTGAGGGCATCTATCTTCAGAGCAGGGACAGAATGACTTGGAATGGGGAGACCCAAGTCAGATGGAGGTTGTGTAGACATCAACAATATAACAAACAACAGTTTGGCCTCATGTGTTTACGAATGTATGATGGCAGCAGGAATCAGGAAGTGACTGTTCTACTAGCTTGCCTCAATTTCTCATTCTATTCCTACTTCAAATAATCCTCACACTACCAGCTAGATGGAGCCATCAATTCTAAGGGCTATCAGAAAAATCTCTGAAAAGGAGTCCCCAGGATGAGATGACACCTGGACAAGGTTGGAAATCATCACTCTGAGAACCTGGCTATGTCCTCAGCATTTCCTCGAGTCCCATAGGTCCTCATGTTTCTTCTAGACAGGTCTGGGCTACTTCCACTCCTACAGTCCCCAGGCTTTCTACAATGCCATTCAACAGAGCCCGCACATCCTGAGCCTTCCTGGGGTTACAGAGGGCACCAGAAGATAGCCCACCAACCAACTGACTATCTACCCCAGCCCCCAATGTGATATCCTGTAAAACACCATCTCACATTTACTGAGCCCCTGTTGTGGCCTCTGTGGGGTGTCTCTGCTCAGCCCACTGCTCCTCTCTAAGCACTTTGAAGAAGCAGCTAAGGCCACCTTCTGTACCTTCTGATACACAGCTTCCCTAAACCCACAGACAGCAAGCATACCAATCCAGCAGACATCTGTGGGTCAAACAAGGTTACAAAACTTCAGAGAAACTCCTCTCGGCAGCTCTCTCTAAGAATCAACCTAGTCTCCATCCACAAACTACCAGCCATATGAAGCAAAAAAGTAACAGCCCTGAAGAACACCAAGTTATGGCACAGGCCAGCCAGTCAGGCAGAGAAAAGCCATACAAAGCAAATAGAAGGCATCTGGCACCTTCACATAGGAACAGCTCTGGGAGATTTTCTTATACTATTCTAATCAAATCTACTCCTTTGTTTCTCTTCTATATCCTTTGTGTAAGATCCCATTTGATCAGATTTAGAATCACCTGATAGACCATTCCATGCTCCCTTTTCCTTCTCTTACATTCTCTGCCTCTTGTTTTTGCTGCTTTTGATTGAACCTGTAAGGTCTATCCAAGGACTATAAGGATGATATAGCAAGATCATATATATTCCATGTATACATGTATATTCCATATATATGAAAGAAAGAGAGGAAGGGGAGTGATATATATATATATATATATATATATATATATATATATATATATATATATATATATCAAGATACAGAAGAAGGGAAGAGAAGGGAAGGGAAGAGAAGAGAATTCAGTGAAGAAGGAGGAAGTAGCTATAAGCATATAGCCCGACACTAAACATTTTGGTTAGCCTTCTTCCTAGGAGCAAGTAAAGCCTGAATTACAGTAGTGTTGACTAGGTTTGCATTTGTATAGCCGCCTTGATCTGTAGCATGAAGACTATTCTGGAGAAAAGAAGGATGGAGAAAGGGAGACCAACAGGATGGCTGTGGTGCTGGACCAGGTAAGAGATGATGGTGCTTTGGTCAGGGGTGATGATGGGCAAAAGAAAAAAAAAGAAAGGTAGATTCAAGAAAAGGGGCATAAGGAACCAATATAAAATGCTACAGAAAAGAACTCTCATATTTATTAAAAATTGAAAGATTAAAAACCTATCTAACAATGAAAATGGAGATAACTCTCATATTGTTTAGATAGTTTGATGGTGATTTGGAAATATCCAAGGGAGCATGCTTATGAATTCAATTTGATTTCTAAATATCTACCCCATAAAAATGTAACTGAGCATAAAGACACACACATTCTAAGATGTTTATTGCAGCATCTGTTTGTAAGGGCAAAAACCTGAAACAATATACCCATGGGCATAATGGAATATGAAATATTAGACTTAAATAAAGCCAATGTGTGCTGAGATAGAACATGTTTATAATATATTTCTTAAATATAAAATCAAATTTCAGAAAAATATGTAAAGTATGTTAAAATAGAAGGCTCCATCCACATATGCTTTTGTGTTGTAAATGTGTCTTTATGACTGCAAAGGGAAACATCTGGGATGGTGCACATCTGTGTGTGGTCTCTATCTTCTCAGTCAAGTAGGAAACTAAGTTGTCTGTTGAGAATGAGGGCAGCTGCTACAAACATTTTCCATTTGAGGAGAATGATTCTGGCTTGAAATCACCTTGTGGGAATAGGAAATACTGCTGACTCCACATTGCCAAACCGTACTGAAGACTCAGAAGAGGAGCCAAGCCAATAGTCAAGGTCATTCCACTTTCTTCACAGGACTCAGGATGTGGAGCAGTAAGAAAGAATTAGCTATGGGGTGTTCTCTATGACCAGGACTGCTTAGGTGCTGACACTATGCTCACTAATTGTAACAGTTTAACTTCAAGATGACATGCATGATACTATTCCATTTGCTGATATAGACAGTTAGGTAGTCCAAGGTCACACAATAAAAGAACAATGGAATGAAAATTCCCTGGTGTTGTGTAGCCTGCAGGTTCCCTCACACTTGCTGATGGCTGGGATTATCTTCTAGGGCAGTAGAGCCAGCAGATGGAGGCTGGCCATCCAGGTACTCTCATGAGTCAAGTTCTACTCTACCACCTGTCCATGCAGACTTTCATGCAAGAGAAAGACAAATAGCCCCCTGAAAACAAAAGTTTATTTTTATTCTCTGCTAAATCATTATGCTAATATTCAAATCAGCACAGCTTCTAAATAGGAATAAATCATTCATTGAAAACAGGAAAATTTAAGCTGGAAACCCAAGAGAAATATTAGGCTTGAGCAAATATATATATGACACATGTGCCATGTATGTAACACACACATATACCCATATATAAGTGTGCATATATGCACACACACATATACATAAATACGTGCACATACATACACATGTATATGTTTATAAATCTATTTGGGGTAATACCTTTTCCCCTTCAGAGTATTTTCTCTTTCTGCTTAACATCCAAATAACTGTGATTATGAATGGTATTTATTGGTCATATTTCAGTATAATGTATACTATCAAGGATGGCATTAAATAAATCATAATTGAATAGGGATTTTCAATTATGAGAAGTGGCAGAAACGAGGAATAATTCCATTTCAGGCAGTTCTGGTCCCTGAAGGTGCAAGGGGAGGTGCATGCTGCACTGGACTGGGGTCAGTACCTTCTTCTGTCCTCACAGTCAGAGTGGGAGCCGTTGTGGGCACAAGGTGTGTGGCGCCGCTGCATCCTCATGGCATGGCCCATGCAGCGTCCAGGACACTAGAACAGAAGCACAGTGCAGTGTTTTCAAGCACCCTGAATGCTCGGGCACACTGTGTGTACTGAGATCCGTACTGCGGTGGATCAGCCAAGGACAGGTTGCAGAGGTCAGCTGTCCCTGTGGTAAGTTAGAAGGGGTCTGATGGTAGTTCTGCAGACAGACCTACCCTCCCCCTATTCTTTATCCCCTGAAACTCAGGCCACCTCCGGAAGAAAGGAAAAGGTGGGATAAACTCTGAATTGATTAAGCTTACGTATAGAAACAGCTCTATTTAAAACAATTAGTGAAGCCCAAGGTTTTTTGTTTGGTTTTGGTTTTAGTTTTGTGTGTGTGTGTGTGTGTGTGTGTGTGTGTGTGTGTGTGTGTGTGTGTGTGTGTGTGTGTGTGGTGTTTTGCTTTTTATTTGCTCTGAGCAAAGATGGAGGCACCTGTGCTAAAGCAAGTTCAGGTACAGGAGAAACAACTCAAACTTGATTTGCAGCCCTTGAATTTTTGCACAGCTGTAACGCCCATTACATTTCCCTCATAATCACATTATACATGGAAAAGTCTGTTACATTTTTATTACTGTTACAGTGAGCTCTCCAGTCAGATCAGAATTTTGTGGTGTATGTTCTAAATGCAGTCTTTGATTTTGCTTATTTTTCTTACCTTACTTAACCAATTTCTTTCATACAATCTTTTTATGTTATAGCTATATTTTATTGGGCTTTAATTCACCTGCCATATAATTATCAACTATTTAAAACACACATTATAATGGCTTTCAGACTTGCCATACCACAGTCAAGTTTGGAACATTATCATCAGCCCTCACAGAAACCCAATAGCCCTCAGCAGTCCTTCCTCCCCTCACAGGTCTAAGCAGTCACAAAGCTGCCTGTTGTCTGACAGATTTACCTACTGTAGACACAACAGTGGAGTCCTGTGTCTGTCTTCCTTCATTAGTCCTGAACGCTCAAGGTCTGGCCATGGTGTAGAATGTGCCAGTCCCACGTTCCTTTTAATGGCTCCTAAACGTCTTTGATGTTTTTCGTGGTGTCGGGACTTCCTGTAAGCAGGAAGCATGACTTCATGCTTTTCTGTGGGTGCACAGTTGCCCTGCAGCATTTGTTAAGAGGGTGTCATTTCCTGTGGTTATCACTGAGACCAACTGCAGACAGGAAACAACCCAAGGGCAGAAAGACTTATTTTGGCTCACGGTTCAGGGGACTCAGTCCTTCAGTCTGGGAAGGCAGGTGTCAAGAGTAAGTGGCAGTGGCAGCAGGAATGGGGTCATCTCTCAGAAGATCAGGAAGCACAGAGGATGCCTGACCTCAGCTGGCTTTTTCCCTTTTCTTTTTGTATCCCATCTGGTACCCTAGCCCAAAGGATGAAGTTGCGAATCTTCAGGAGAAGCCTCACCCCTTCAGTTAATCTGTGTAAACTTTATCACAGATACACCAAGTACTTGGGGCCTTTGTTAAGTCAAGCAAGTTGGCAACTGAGATTAACCATCACAGAATAATATTCTTTTCTTCAATGGATGACTTTGTCAATTTTACCAAGATTCAAACGGTTTGGTTTTGGATTCCGTTCTGTTTCAGAGATGTATGTCTGTCCTGTTAGAACAGCACTGTCTTGTAGAAAGTTTTAAAATAAGAAGTTTGGATCCTCCAACTTATTCTATCTCAAATGACTTGTTTGGATATTGTGGATTATTTTTAGTTGCATGCAGATTTTAGATTAGATTCAGCTTGCCGATTTCTGGTAGAGAATGCTGGGAATCTTTAGATAAATTTGCAAGTGGTTGTCAATTGGAGATAGCTTCTCACAAACACAGGAAATCTTTCTATTCTTGTAGATTACCTTTAATTTCTTTGAAAAACATTTGGTGGTTTTATGCTATTTAGTTTCTTCAAAACCAGTCTTCCTACTTGACTTGAAATCATTGATCAATTGTCTGGTTCTGTGCAGTAATTACACTCCAGACTTCATTCTATTCCTGCCCCAACAGTGCACTGTTGCTCAGAACAAACTTGTATCCAAGTTGGCATAGGATGAGGAAGGGCTCTCCCTACCTCCCATAGTTTGACTTTCTGAAAGTTCCTTCTCTTTATTTGTTCTCAGAATAAAGTTCAGATTTATATTAAGTTCCAAAGAAAGGTTCTGTCATTTAATTAAAATTGTATTTCATATGTGAACTCATTTCTGGGTCTTTATAGTCCTGATATTCCACTTAGCAAAATAATAGGTCTTCTATTTGTCCAACTTCTAATTTATTCATTTTAATAATATGCTATCTTTTAACACCCAGGAAACAAGGCCCTTTAAACACAACAGGACAGACACACATATGAACAACAAGAGATTGAGGCAGCATGAACAGGACCTCCAAAGATCTGCAGCAGATGGGTTCTTAAAGCTGAAAGAAGTGGATGCAAACCCCATCCCTAACCCAGAAGCTATCTCCAATTGACAACCACTTGCAAATGAAACTTTAGTTTTCTCCAAGGGAGTCTCACTGGGAAAACAAACTACTCTTAATGGGAGGTTGCATGTCCAGCAATAGATGGCCAACAGAAAATGAACTCAATGGCATCTTTGGAGGTTCCATGTCTCATAATGTCATGTTATTTATTTAATTTTTTACAATTTTCTCTAATTAATTAATTAACTTTCTTTCTTTTTGCTCCACAGGTCCTTTGTATATATATTATGGCTTCCAGATCTGTGTTTCTATGGGATTCCTAAATGTGCAAACAAGTGGATCTCTGCATCTATATCTGTTTCTTGGGCTCTTTTCCTTCTGTTTATTTTGTCCTATTCTGAGGTGTTAGTTTGTTTTATCTTATTATATTTTATTTACTATATTATTATCATCTAGAAGCATGTTTGTTTTTTAATGAGAGATAGGAAGGGGGTGGATCCAGATGGGTGGGGAGAAAATGGAAAGATTAGAGGGAGGGGAAACCATAGTCAGAATATATTATATGAGGGAAAAAAATCTATTTTCAATAAAAGGAAAATATATGGCCCATTAACAATTTTAAAGTATACACTACAGCATTATTACTTATAAATACTGTTTTGCATAGTTGCTCACTAGAACACATTCATCTTGCACAACTTTGTCACTTAGCTCTTTAAAACTACTGTTCTATTCACTATTATGAACTTGATTAGACACATACATAAGTGGAATCATAGTCTTTGTTTTCTATGCCTGGATTACCTCATATGGTCATAAACATATGATATCATTTCAATATTGAATAAACACTTCAAGTTAGATAGTCTAAAACACCTTTAAAGTTCATAAGTAACAAAGAGGTGATTGTAGATAACATTGCCAACATCTAAGCTTACCTGGTTTCCTGGGTCGATGGCCTGTTGAACACAGGGACGGACCGAACACGATTTTCTCCCCAGAGGTCTGTCTTTAGGAGCACATTCCCTTGGGGACACCACCTGTACAGTCCCATTGGCTTTTGTCTGTTTGCATGTCACTTGCCGACTGTGAAATCCTTCACCACAAGACACAGAGCACTCGGACCACACACTCGTAAACCACCTAGAAACAAAAGCTACAGGACCTTAGCAAGGACTGTCCAGAAAAGGCTAATTTGTTTATCTTAACACTATGGTGGTGTCAGAGGAGTCACATGTCTCTCCAGGACAAGGTTGAGGCATAGGTGACTTCCAGTCTTCCTCCTCCCCACCCCTCAGGGAACAGCAGTGTCACTAGGTGGAGAGAACCAATGTAGTGATGAGTGTGCCAGCTATAAGGTTTAATAGAGTCACTGTACACCAAAGGATTAGGTTCCCTGTGGATTCATAATTTCAGATTTATGCTTTCTCAAGGGTGACTCTTGGTTATGACATGTTCCATTTAGAAATGATAGTAGCTACTCAAAGTTATGGCAGGTAGAATGCCTGTAACATTGACAGTCCGTCTAAGGACATGCCTCAAAGCAGCTGTTGTGTCTGACACAGTGACTCTGCTTCTCACAGTCTTCTGAGGCATGGGCCACCTGTGACATTTGTATAGGAAATGGAGCTGTAGAACAGTAAGATTCTATTGAAAATAATCTGTACCATTTTTATTAGTGTGTACATGGTGTGTGTGTGTGTGTGTGTGTGTGTGTGTGTGTGTGTGTGTGTACACTATGGGTTTCCACCAAGGCAGAAGAGGGCATTGGATGTACTGGGGTTGGAGTTCCAGGCATTTATGAACCCAAAGACATGGGTGCCGGGCACTGGGGTTCTCTGCAAGAGCAACAAGCCTCTTAACAACTGAGCCATCTCTCCAGCCCCTGACTCTCCATCTTTTAATCAGAAAATTAGGGCTGAAAAATCATACCTGCCTCATAGATCTGAACTCAAAAATACAAAAAACACCTCTTCAGTTAATTGTTTTTTTGTTATTTATTTTTGTGTCATTTGATCAACTTTCTGCTAGACTATGTGACACTCAATCGTTTATTCCACATTAATACTTTCTCTGAGTATAGCAACTGAGCTATTACCCAGTCCAAATCACTGTGCCTCTAAAGGTAACTTTGGTATTATTTTATGTGTATGGGTGTTTTGCCTAAATGTATGTTTGTTCTCCATGTTTGTGCTCGGTGCTTGCAGAGGCTAGAAGAGGGTGTTGGATTCCCTGGACTTACAGACGGTTGTGAGCTGCCATGTGGGCTCTAGGGATTGAACCTGGGTCCTCTGGAAGAACAGCCAGTGCTCTTCACCACTGAACTACCTCCCCAGCCCCTATTATATATTTCAAAACCAGCAAAAACTAGTGTACTGTTAAGAAAGTAACTAAACATACATACCTTGCTGGGCAGTCCCGGATGTTACAAGACTGAAACCCAGCCAGCGGCTTCCTGTGAGGACCACAAAGGGCTTCACTCACTTTCTGCCCACTGGCCATCACACACTGGGGCCTCTGAAGGCGGACGCCCAAGGGGCCACAGGTGGCAGAACAAGGTGTCCAGTTACCAGGTTCCCAAAAAGGCTCTGCAGAAAGGAAAGGAAATGTCACTAACAACCCCAAATAAGAAAGGATGATGCTCTGGAGGCAACAGGGCAAAAACCACCACAAATCGTTCTGTGGTTAACTACCTACCTGCAGTTTAAGCGATACACACAGAAAAGGCCATTGCACAGTGTGAAGCTTACTTTCTCTTGAGTGACTATTACACTTGCTGACTGGAAATGATGGCCAGAATGGGCTCCTTGGAGCCCAGCCTGGGAGATGGCCATTGCAGGTCAGCTAGGTCTACTGGAAAAACCCAAGAGAAAGGGAGGAGGCATTGTCCAGCCAATGCTTCCCCAGCATTCTCTAAGCAGAGCCAACAGGACAGGGAGGAAGGCCTCTCCAGGGGATGCCTTAATGCTGTCCATTTTCCAAAAACAGATCAGGCCGAGCAAGGAAGATGATTTAGAAGGAGGAACAGGGACCAGGGATTTAGCAGTAAGGTGAGATGCATTTGAGTCCCACCCTTACTTTTCCATTAATTCTTAACCCAAACACCACATCGGCCCTAAAACTGCATAAATAATTTGCTCTGGAGACATCTGGAAAGGTAAGTATGAGGTTTCCTTTGGACAAGTAGTAGCCAAGCACCCCCAGTAATCACAGCTTTCGTGTTACCCTTCCCTGCCGACACTCGATAAAAGATGAGGTAGGACACGATGCTGACAGTTTTGTGGATGGCCACAGAAAATGCCAAATTTCCCTGCAATGTTCATGAATAATTGATAGCTACCAGCTGTGTCCACATGATCTCTCAGAATGGAATGGTTTATTTAACTTATTGTTTTCCATTCTGAGTTTTGAGTTTTTACCTTAAATTGCACATGGCATCATTTGCAGAGCAGAACCATAAATTATATCTCCAGTTGGACTTTCAGAATCATAGTTTATTTCAAAACAGTTTTTTTTCAAGGTGGTCATTTACTGAGACTCTCCAGGGTGAACAAGTAGTGGGGTAGAAACTTGAAAAATTAATTTTTAATTGACTCTTCCATGTTCTGTTATGAAGCTGCTAATTTTATTTTTATTTATAGAGGTAGAGAGATTAAATGAAGCTAAGTAAGTTACTCAATGTCTATTATGAACCAGGGAGACTGGAACCCACATTTGTCTAACTCTGGGTCTCAGTGCAAGGCAGGGTGCATGTGCCTTTCTTAAAAAAGATTGGGCATTTATTAAAGTATAATTTATGTACAGGCAAGTGCTCACAGCTCAATTTTATGAGCTTCACAATTGTCTGAACTCTTTTGTCTATGATCCACAGCAAGGTAAAGAAGATTTTAACACCCCTAAAGTTTTCATTTTGCCATTTTTCAATCAGCCCCTTCCCCTCCCAGGTGACCACATTTTTTTTTTAACTATCAGTATATATTGGCTTTCCTTCTTACTGGGCTTCTGTATTTAGCTTCCTTTGCTTAGTATACTATGTTTGGGGATTCACTCATATCGCTGGGAGTATCCACAGTGTATCTTCTTTTACTGCTAAATAATGCACCATTTCTGAACACATCATAGTCTTTCATGTTGCTGTCAACAGCTATCATGACTGCTCACAAACTTTTTTTTTTTGAGCCTGCTTTCACTCTGTTTGAATGAAAACCTGTGAGAAGAATTTCTGGGTCGAGGATGGGTGTATGTTTAGCTACAAAGTGCCAAACAGTTTTCCATCGTGGTCTCTGCTCACCGTCATATGGAAGCTTTGATTGAAATATCGCTTGCTCGAATTTAGTTCGTGTTTTTGTCTTCGGCTATTCTAGTAGGCATGAACTTGCATCTTCTGGTTTTGATCTGCATTTGCCCATTGTCTCCTTTTGTGTAGCGATTTCTTCCAAGACTCAGTGAGACCCAGGAGCTTCTAAAGGGACTTAAGTCCCTGAAACCAACCAGATGCGCAAGACTCCTCCTTCCCAAGGCTAAGTAAGCAATAAGGACTGCTGAGGAGACTCACATCAGTCAGGCTGCCTGAAGAGACACTCAGACCTGTTGGGCTGCCTGAAAGTCCCACAGTGAGCTCCAAGGTTCCAGCTGTCACAAGCAGTCGCCATATTGGTGGGTGGGGCTTTCGGTGTTGCGGCTCCCTTTGAGTCATCCCTACTCCTACAAGTAGCCCTCACTCACATGCCTGTAAGCTACTTCTTCGGTTCACCAAGGTGGACTTGGTTGGTGTCCTTACTTTGGTCTCTTGTCAGTTTCCTATCTGTGCTGAGTGGACATCTGTTGAGGTCTCCCCAGGAACAGTGCCACACAACACACTTGTATGCCACTTTTCATGAAGGGTCTGTCAAGGGCTTTTGTATACTGTTTTGTAGTGGGGGAATGGTGGCCACTGTTAACTTGAAGGAGTTCCTTATGTTTTTCATACAGTTCTTCATCAGAAATACGTTCTGCTACAGACAGGCCAAAATCACTCAGTTGGGAAATCATTAGAATGAGTAAACAGTCTCTGCCAATATTTTTCCAGTTGCACTCGAAAAGTAGATCACAGCCTGACACTCCCATATAAAACTCCTTGGTAACTCCTGACATTTTAACTTGACCCTTGAAGCCCTGGATGGCTGGTTCTTAGCAACTCCTTCCCCTCTGTACCCTCATTGCACTTGTTCCGTAAGCACATCAAGCTGCTTTCAATGTGTAGTTTGCACTAACTAATCCCCCTCTGAGAATACCCCTTCCTCATCCCGCTGCACAGAGGGCACCACCTCATCCATCAGGTCTAGGCTAACATGTCTCCTCCTGAGAAGGCCCATCCTGACTATCTTCCCCAAAGCAGTCACTACCAAGCATGTACCCCACTGCTCAGACCATTTCATCCTTAGTGCTTAACTACAAAGAATATACACACGCTTATTTGTTTACTTAGTTCTTGTTTATCTTTCCTACTGGCAAGTCAAATCCATACATTCTGTCCTATTCAACATAAGGACAGGGTATACCATCTATAAGTCACTGAACTAACATTTGTTAACAAATAACTCTATAAAATGACAGGCTAATTCATGACCAATGGCTGGCACACTTTGCAGCATGCACATTTAAGTATTTGTATACATTTCTACGTAGGTAAATTCTGGGTCTGGGCACAAGGTGCTAAAATGATGTAAATAGTCCCAATAAGCCAAGTGCTGTCTACAACAAAGGCTTGGCCTTACAGAATCATTGGCCTCACAAATATCTATTTAATATTTATTTGTTGTAGGGATTCTTATGGTCTTTGAGCCCATGGCACATGTAACATCTAAATGTCTTCTCACATTCTAGTTTCTCTCATTGGAGGGTCCTTCTTTCTCTTCCCAGAACAAAACCTAGTTGACATTTCCAGAAACAGGTTGGACCTCTTCCTCAGCAATGCCCTTGTGTGTTAGCCATGTTTTTCTCACGGTATTCACTACACTGCCTCAGAAGAACTGTTCACATGCGTGTCTCCCTCTTAGACTGTAAGCGTTTCAAAGACTAAGACTGGAGGGCCGCAGTTATAGGAGAAGCAAGTGCTCAGTACTCATCACCGAATGTCAAATGAATACATAATTTATTGTGTAATGGTGGCATTACATCTAAATGACCATCTTAGGTAGTGATGTCATCAGTAACATGTAGTGCAGTGTTGATGGACAGCTTAACACCATTAACCCTCCTATCCTCTCCCTTAAATCTCAGGAAGTAAGGGTCTTTGAAACTTTATCTTCTAGACCCCCTATGAAGCAGATGATACTCTACATGATACATTGTACAGCTTCGAGGAACTCCTCAGAATTTCAAATCCCAAATGATATCATAGCAGTAAAACATGTGGCCTGACAGTAGTTTTGGTTTGTCCTTTGGCCATCACAACCTACTTTTGAATGACAAGGAGCTGAGATCATCACCAGTTTTCCTGACTGTCCTTTCTGGTTTTCTTATCTCTCCCTTATTTCCTTTGGCCTTCTGAAGGGGGTTACAAGCTTGGAATACCTGGTATAGGTTCTTTTGATCATTTACCAGTGCATAACAAGTTGGGATGTATGGGAAATTTGTATGTGAATAGAAAATGAAAGAACTGATCCCACAACCCTCTCAGAACTTCCTTTTGTTGGTATCTATTTGGGTGATGATAGTTTTGAAACTGGAAAATCAGTATCTACACCATCACAAATAATGATGTGTATTAGGGATATGAGCCCCATGAGCTGCCTCATTTCAAAAACTGTCCCACTGTGAAAGGAATAGATTGAACTATCAAAGACTGAGGGGCAGGAAAAAACCCTGAGTAAATGCCAAGGAATACATTGCAAAGAGAAAATCATAGAGGTCGCCCAGCAAAAAATGCATGCCCTGAAAGGAAATCTGTAAACAGTCAAAATTCCAGACCTTGAGGCAGGGGCTCTCCTGTTGAGTTGTTGCTGTTTGCTCTGATGCTGGATGCCTGGAGAACACGCTTTTTCTGAGCCTTAGGAAATACAGTCTTACTGCCCAGGCCTCTTCGTTCTGGGAAAACAATGTGTAACACATCTAACCAATCAAAAGCCATCAAATTCTCATTCCTGTTTGAGTGTTCTTGAAGACAACTATGAAGAGGGACTTTTTCTAATAGAATGCTGTGTGTCCATGGATGCTTTGGCTCCCACAGGTCTAGAAGTAGGTGGGTGTGTGCGTGCATGCATGTGTGTCTGAGTCTGTGTGTCTGTGTGTTTATGAGTGTGTGTGTGTGTGTGTGTGTGTGTGTGTGTGTGTGTGTGCGCGCGCGCATGCATGCATGCATGCATGCATTTCACAGGACCAGAAATCATCTTGACTAAAACAGACCTCAGTACTGCCCCCACATACAATCGGGTTTGAGAGTTAAGTAGACATAGAGGCATGAAATGAAAAGTTTTAATGCTGGCAGAAAAGGGCATGTTGCTTGGGCAGAAGAGCAGCTTCGCAGTCACAGCCATCTGAGGGGAGAACTGGTATGACAGGGTGGTATAAGTGACTTTAAGTAGGCAGTGATGGGGGGGTGAGAACCGTGACACACCTGTGTCACTCACATTTTGACTCCAGTGTCAACAAGTCTGGCCCCTGCTTCTTACACATTACAGGACTCATCAGGAACAATTAGAGTCGGACACTCACCCAGCAAGCGGAGCACAGAGGTTGACACTGCTTTCCCAAGAGCATTGGTGGCTGTGCAAATGTAGGTTCCTTCATTGTCGAGGGAAGCATTCTGCAACAACAGGGATCCATTGAAAAGCAAGGAAACATTGTCACTCAGAGATCCTCCTCTCTTCAACCAAGTTACATTAGGCTGAGGGACACCTTTGGAACAAAAACAAATATGACAAAGGCAATTCCTTTAAGAACAGGGCCACAGAACTATGAGACAAATACCATTTAGTGTTTGGAGCATAAGTCAGGAAATGGGTAAGGCATAGCTAATAGGAAATGGCTGGTTGTGTTTTTTTTTTTTTTTTTTTTTTTAAAGGTTTATTCTACATACAGCATTTTTCCTACATGTATGTCTACATGCCAGAAGAGGGCCCCAGATCTCATTACAGATGGTTGTGAGCCACCATGTGGTTGCTGGGAATTGAACTCAGGACCTCTGAAAGAACAGCCAGTGCTCTTAACCTCTGAGCCATCTCTCCAGGCCCTAGCTGGTTGTGTTTTTTAAGGCCTATGTAGGAGGAATCATGGCACAGCAAAGGCTTTGGTCCATGTGGCAGCTCATCAGTTCATGTATTATATTAGGGGATAGGAGCCAGTGATATTGCCTCGCTCTGGGAATGGAAGGGATTTTGAAGTTAGGCAGGTCAGTGGGGAAATGGTTAACAAAGAAGGAGTTGGTGGAGCTGAGGTAAGTGGAGGCAGAAGAATTCCTACTACTGAGTTGTTGCCAGGAAGACTTTGAAAAACAAATATATATATATATATATATATATATATATATATATATATATATATATATATATATTAGAACTTCGTTGCTATGCACATGCAATGGGAACGGTCCTCCTTGGGGAAGATTATATGATCCTTAGAGAAACAGATTTGCTTCACTAATGAGTTCTATAAAAAGTGTCATTTTAGAGAACAAAAGGAAGTGTTAAGTTTGGGTCTGGGTCAGTTGAGGCAGAGGCTTCTAGAACTATCACAGGAGCCTGGGCACAGAGGAAGACAGAAGAGCTGAAAAAAAATGTCTTCATCCACATCTTGATAAGTATTAGCTTTTTTGCTGGGCTATTGAAACTCAGGATGATTTCACTTGATTCTTGAGAGTGAAGGGTGCCTCAGGTGGTGCCTGGGACTGAACTAGGTAGCTGGTTTGAGGGATGTCCTCTCCTCCTAAAGTGCTCTGGGTTGGGGGGAGAACATGGGATGGCTTTCTGAAAAAATCATCTCCTCACTATTATAATGACATGTGCAAAGTACCTTGCAGCAGGCAGAAGGCATGGCCCAAGAGCCTGGTGCCACTTCCAAATTCTCACAGTCACTCCTTCTTCCTTGGAGGGAGTCATTGTGTGCTCCATCTTACTGCTGAGGACTCTGTTAAGCCTTGGGAATTCAGCATTCATTGTTCCATCCACCATACCAAGTTTGCCATTCAAGTCTACACCAAGCTTGCCATTCAAGTCTCTATACCAAGCTTGCCATTCAAGTCTCTATGCCAAGCTTGCCATTCAAGTCTCTATACCAAGCTTGCCATTCAAGTCTCTATGCCAAGGTTGCCATTCAAGTCTCTATACCAAGCTTGCCATTCAAGTCTCTATACCAAGCTTGCCATTCAAGTCTCTATGCCAAGGTTGTCATTCAAGTCTCTATACCAAGCTTGTCATTCAAGTCTCTTTAGGGCATTTGTTATGTGTCTTTAGAAAAATCCGATTTACTTAGAGATGTCATGTGTACATGCAGAAACTACAGATTGATGCTTGTACTGAAGTACTGAACCAAACCCAAGTGTTTTTGTTTTTGTTTTGTTTTGCTTGCTTTTTAAAGAGAGAGAGTGCAAGGAGAGACAGCTGGAATTAGAGGTGTGGGGGTTTTAGAAACCTAGTACAATGGAAACTTCCTAGAATCTAAGAGAGCAATCCTAGTGAGGACTCCTAGTAATGGAGGATACGGATTCTGAACTGGACATCTTTTGTAGCTAGGCAAGGTTTCCAGTGATGGGACTGGGTTGAATTTGGTTGAGTTGTTGGCCAAGGGGGTCCATAGAAATCCCTAAAGAACCCATGCTGATGCTAAGACAGAGGGTCGATCTCCAAAAACTGACAGTAGAACTCCATTGCCAAGGACAGCATCCATTACAGCTCACTGAACACAGAGAGGTTGAGCTGGTGCCTTCACGGAGCCTTCAGCCCTACATCCTCTTTGGCATGGGAAGGTACTTGGCAGGCTACCAAAAGTGAAACCTGGACACCAATCCAGCCACAAAACCATCGACCTATAACCTGTCCTGCCTGCAAGATGTGCTGGGGCAATGGTGGCACAGAACTTGTGGAAATGGCCAACCAATGTTTGGTTTAACCTGAGGCCCACATTACAAGAGGGAGTCCGTGCCCTACACTGCCTGGAAGGCCAGGAACCAGAGACTGGATAGCCCAGAGACCTAGGGTAGAACAAAATAGTCTTGGCCAAAAAAAAAAAAAAAAAATCACTGACATGATTTCTAATGACACTCATAGATCTGTGCCTTGTCCAGTCATCATCAGAGAGGCATCCTCTGACAGCAGATGCAGAGACCCATATTCAGATATTATGTGAAGAGAAAGTCTAAATTGGAAGTTTTCATGGAGTCCCTCCCCTCAGAGCTAGGCGACTCCCGTGAAATAAGGGTTGGAAAGATTGTAGGAATCAGAGGGGATGAAGGAGAATATGGCCCACGGATCAACTAATCAGGGCACACATGAGTCCACAAAGACTGAAGTGGTATCACAGGGCCTGCAAAGGTCTGCACCAGGCCTTCTGGGTATATGTTACGACTATTAGCTTGTGGGTTAGGGGGACTCCTAACAGTGGGAGCAGGTGTGTCTCTGACTCTTTAGCCAGCACCTGGGACTCTTCCTCCTGCTGGATTGCCTTGTCCAGCTTCAAAGTGAGGCTTTTGCCTTGTCTGACTGTATCTTGTTTTGTCCTGTTTGGTTGTTGTCTCTTGGAGGCCTGCTCTTTCCTGAAGGGAAATGGGAAACTGGAGTCGGGGGAGATCTTAGGGATGGGGGTAGGCGGGGTAGGGGAGCTGGGAGATGTGGTGGGAGAGGAAACTGATGCTGTTCATTCTCTAGAAGTGGGAACAGAATGGAAAAGTTGCTGCCTTGGGTGGGAAGGGAAAGGCTGCTCTCATTCTCTTCTATTATTTTGTTAACTTTGGACATCACACTGGATTCCAGCAGCCTTAAGTGCAAAAGGAATGTGGAATAAGAACAGGAATGTTATCATGTTTAGATGTAATATCTGAGGGCTTCAAAACCTGCGTCTGAGTCTGAGTTGGTGGCTCTCAGGGATTTCATCTTTAATCCTATGGCTTTGTATGATCTGTGTGTGACTGGGGGATTTCCAAGGGTGTTACCTCAAGAGTCTCATCTTCTGATCGCTCCATCAAATAACTACAATATATGGGCTGGTGTGATGGGGTTTTGCAGGTTTGACTAAGTTTACAAGTCAGATGACCTTAAAATAATATCTGGATGGACCAATGCCATTCTGTGAGTCCTGAAGATCAGAAAAGCAGAGCAGACGTGGTTAGAGATGTAAACAGGATGGAGTAGGAGTGACAAGGCCAAAGAGCATGTATGAGGGCACGGCCTTCCACGGATGATTTTAAATGAAGGGATCCATGAGCCAAAGAAGGCAGGTATCTTCGAAAACCTGGGAGTTGCCTCCAGCTGACAGTAACAAGCAAGTGGGTCCTTGAGTCCTGCAACGAGTAGGAACTGAATTCTGCCAACAACAGGAAGGAGATGAATCCCCAGAGTCTCCAGACAGGAGTTCACCCTCAACAGCCCCTTCATCTGACCTTTGATCCTCTGGATAGAGGAGTCAGCTCAGTCACACTCTACTGACTGACCTATAGAACTGTGCAATAATAAATTAGTGTTTTTAAGTTTGTAGTAATTTGTTACAGCAGCAATACAAAATGAATATCTTGATAATGACACATGCACGTATTTTTTTAGCTTCTTCTGTACACATATACATAGAAAAGTCACAGCTATTAAATGAGATTCAGAGCCACATAATTAGATTCAGAACATCTTTTAACTAGAATGCAGGTAGCTTTCATGCATTTCTTAATAAAGTCTCTCCTAAGTGGCTTATAGTTGTTGGAAAGTTTGGTTGTGGTGTCAAACAAGGTCAAATGCACATACATGTACACACATGTATAACATATGATACATATATAAAATGTATAGTAGCTATTGATTGCTATCACTTAAAGGAAGTTATGAAGCTTATTTATCTTGTTTCTGTCACCATAATAGATGACTTAATTTTGGTAGGTTTTTAATTGTTTTCTTCTTTATTTAAAAAAGGTAACAATTACCCCAAGTGCCCCTCCCCTCCGTGCCTCCTGATCCTGGTCCACACCTCTGGCAGAAGCTTCTCACCCCCAGAGGTCAGGCCAGCATCCTGAACCCTAGGTAATCTGACCCTCACCCCACCCTCTCTCATCCAGCCTAACTCCAACTGCCCCTCCTCTCCTCTTTACCATATCCTGGGCAACATTTCTGGCAGAAGCCTTCCACCCCATCAGAGGCCAGGCCAGCTTCCTGAAAACCACGTAAGCCACCATCCAAACCAACCCTCTCCTGCCCTACCCAGCATAACCCAAGTGCCCCTCTTCTCCTTGCCACCTGATCGTGGCCCACACCTTTGGGGAAACCTCCCATCTTCCACCTCATCAGAGGCCAGGCCAGAATCCTGATCCCCAGAAGCCAGACCAGCATCCTGAACTCGAGACCAGGCCAATTCCCTGAAAATCAGGCAGCAACCTCCTACCCCACCAGAAGACAGACCAGCATCTGAACCCAAAGAGGGCCCAGCCAGATCAGAGGCTACACACACACAGCCAGAACCAAACTTGGGCAGCAACCCTCTGCTGGACCAGAGGCCATCCAGGCCATCAGAAGTCCAGCCCCAACACAGGCAGAGACCCTCTACTCAACCACAGGCCATGGAACACAGAAGACCAGAAAGGAAACAGAAACCAAGGAAGAAAACATTCATCCAACAAAGACAAACCTAGAAATGGTCACCTAGACCTTTAATCACTCCGAAACCAGATGCCTAAACTATCAGTGTAAGAACACAAGAGCTAAGGC